AAAAACACTGAAATATTAATAAACACAATGAATATTGATCAATATTCCCATGACCAAAGAACTCCATGCTATACAGGCAGAAAAATGGGGACTAAAAGCCCGTGTGATATGGAGCATGTCAAAAGATTCGTTCTACTGCTGGAAACCTGTTGAGTCTCCGTATGTATGTGGTCGTTTGTGTGAATAGAGTGACATGATATCAGGAGCGCTAGGACTGCAAGCATGCACCGTGTTCTGATAGCTGAGCTTTGTTTCGTTAAGTAGGTGTGCCACACTGGAACAGCATGCCCATATACATTGTTTTGCGTGAAAAGCGCTCACTGCTCCCGGTACCAGGGGTGCTTAGGCACAACTTAACTGGTAACAGCAGAACAATTGTTGCCATTTGCACAGAATAATAGAACTAATAGAACCACAACTCATGAATCTTTTAATTGTGCTGGCGTGATGGTAAAAGACACCTGACACATAGGAAAAAGTATTTTTTGCACATGGTTATAAGAAAATGTACAGAATCTGTTTGGTTTAAAAGCAAGTGACACTGAGGTAGCCTAACCTGGTTCATTATTATTGACATTTTCTGCTGTGTGTTTTTATTCCGGGATTCCACTTGAGTAGCTTTGCATGAATCACAGTTAAAGAATATATATATATATATATATATAATATATATATATTTATTTTTACTTTTAACCCTTCTTGCAGCCCCTCAGTTTCTCCATTGTCTAAAAATAGCCATTTTACTTACTGTCTCTTTAAGGCCCCTCTCCCTAAAAAAGCACTTTTATTGTCCTTGGCCAACTTCATATGGAGACTTTAACTTATCTTGTTAAATGTATGCAATGTGGGGCACTGAATTTGATGAATTTACAGACTGCAAATGAGACAAGAATTAGGATGTATAGACAAAGTGTTTCTGGGGGCCAGTGTAGATATGCTTGGCCTGGCAGATCTGCTTTGTACTGTTTATTGTACACACAACTTTTATAACTTAATAAACTGATTTTGGTGAAACTGGATCATATTTTATGATGTTTCTGGACGGACAGATAGACAGATAAAAAGTAACCGCTAACTTTAACATTAGCTGCCATAAGATAGTGTAGTACTATAATTCTTTGTTTTGTTTTGGGCTGAAGTAAAACCAAGGTTTTTGTAGCAGTTGGGAGGGAAAGGTAGAGATCCACACAGTGAAAATGTTGGTGAGACCATGAATGGGCATAACTGAATGTGTGTGCATTTTTGTGTGATTCTACAGAATGTGATTTCTAAGACTTGCATCATGAGCAGGCAAGAATAAGAAGGATTTCTCCATAATGCTTTAATGTATGAATGTGCTGAGGCCTCTTTTTCTGGGTACCCCTAAATGTTCTTTACTGGTGAGACTGAGATGCTCCCTCGCTTAAGTTTTGTGCAGGTAAACAATACTGTATGTCAGGCCTTCCCCAGTCCATAGTGCACTGATCCATTTACCTGTATTAAACGTCACTGACAGTGTGTCTTGAGCCTGTCAGGCCATGGAGGTGTTTGAAGGGTGTTTTATGCATTTTGTGTAATAAACCTACAGTATATGGAGTGAGATTGGCATCTTGTCCAATACACATGAGTTTTGCTTCAGAATGTCTTTAATGCTTGAAAGTGATGTAGAGAAGGCAGATAGATGTACACCCACGTGTGTATGTGATGCCCTTCCATGCTAAATAAAAATAGGGATAGATACCTTCAATAAGTACATAAGTAGCAAAGAAATGGAAAACTTGTTTAATATAGCATAATTCAGCATGCATTACCCCTTGCTATCCACTTTAAATGGAAATGAGACAATATTTGTTTATCTGTGTTTTAAATAGATATGTGGTTCAAATCTTTTCACTGTCATGAAATAATACATTCTTAAATTTTATGGACAAATACCCAGGACCCAGGAAAGTCGGGGTACACCCTAGACTGGTCGCCAGTCCATCGCAGGGCCACACGTAGACAACCACTCACACTCACATTCCATCCAACCATCCATCGTCAACCGCTTATCCTGCGTACAGGGTCACGGGGGGCTGGAGCCAATCCCAGCTTACAGAGAGCGAGAGGCAGGGTACACCCTGGACAGGTCACCAGTCCATTGCAGGGCCACACAGACAGACAACCACTCACACTCACATTCATGAAGGACAAATATGCTTCTAGATTAAATGCCCTTATTAATTGACAGATTCCACCAGCACAGAGAAATTATGTTCTTACAGTTCACAAAATGCCATGCAAAGAATACCTTTTACTGTAACTGTCATATCCATTCAAAAGAGACAGTTTCCACAAGAAAACCCTTCCTTAGCTTTAGGCAGAGACCTGCAGAGGGCTTTGCCGATAGTGCAGGTCAGTCACACACCACATTTGCAAAAGGAAGATATAAATTGTGCTCTGCATTGTCCACAAAAAATAAAAACATTTTTTGCAGATAAGATCAAAGTTAATTATATGTTAATTGTTATTTGTATGAATTAATTATGTATAATTAAAATCTACAGAAAACAAGACTAGCTCGGTGCAATGATCTAAATATTGATATTTCAGAGAAAGAAAGGCTGGGGCGATAGAAAGCCATAAGGCTCAGGCTATTAATCTACATTTTATGCAGTAGAATATGTTGTGTCCGTTTAACAATAAATATCCACATAAAGTGGAATGGAAAAATTATACTGGGTAACATCCTGCCCATGTCTCTGCAGCTTTGGTCTCTTTCCTGCTCTTTTGAAATGATCAAGATCAAATCTGAAAATGATTAGCCTCTGTATCAAGCAAAACATCGTATTTGCACTCAAGTAAAAAAAAAAAGTTAAGTGCTATCTGTAAATCAATGACTGAGTATCTCAAGATGCTCGGCCTCGGAAAAGTAAATTTACTCTGTAAACCAAATCCACAGACATTCAACACTTTGTATTCAGCTCTTAGAAACTAAGGTTGACAAACCAACATAAAAAATGCACAATCTTTCCATGGTGTGGGATTGTGGGGGTATCTTTTCTGCTTCTTTTAGAAGTAACAGGGGGGTTACAGTGCATGTAACAAAGGTCACTGGCTGGAATAACTGGAAATACATCTTTAAAGACACATGCATTGTGTCTTAAAACACGTATTTCTTGGTTTTGATGGGTGTCACCCAGAAATACTCACAAGTCTCTGAGCCAGAGTCCAGTCCCATACTTTCAACCACAGACCACAGGGATGCCGTTTGACAAAAATGGTTCTATTGGGCATTGTGCTCAAACAGAGACTGAAAAGGTTTTTTAATTCCAAATTAAAATGATTTGGGGAAATCACAATTAAAAAAATAATGTTTAATGCCAAAAAGTACTAGTTCTTATTAAGTCACTCACTTGGTGAGGTGGAAAATTAAACTGCTCTCTTATCTATGAATGAAGAGCTGCAAGATGGTGTATCTAAGAGTGAAACATGAAAAAAAGATTTTGAGAGGGAGATGGAGAGACCCAGAGAGATGAGGGAGGAGAAAGCAAGCATTTCAGCTTTGTTTTCAAGACTCTTGACAGCATTAATGTTTGTCTTTTAGTGGATAGAGAGAGGGGACAGTAGAGAAACAGGATAGAGGCAAGATTCTGGCTTTCACTCTGACAACGCAATGTAGGGTTTACAGTAATTCTGGTAATTTAGGGTAATTAGGACATTGGGGAATTGTTTGGAAGAAAACACTTTTCCACACAGAAAGGCTTGCCCACACTTCTTCAGGCTATCTTCTCATCAAGGGCGCTACATGTTTCACAGGGGTCTTTATGAGCAGCGAGTGATCCCTCATAGAGTGGCCAGCCACTAACCAATATGTATGGAATATCAGTGTCTTTGAGGTGAGAGGCAGAAAAGCCAACAGAGCTCCCAGGCAACTGGCATAAGTTTAGTATCACCCCGACACTTGGCATCAATTTACAGAGGGGGTCTATCCGTTTGGCTTTTGTCTCAAGCTACAGTGCATCAGTCCAAGTCAAACTGGTGAAAGATGCTCTCTTCTTCTATCTTCCTACGCCATGTCTCTTCATCTGTCTCTCCCTTTCTCCCTCTCTGAGTATATCAGATGATAAAATCCCCCCGCTGCTGATGGAATCCAGACTACGATAACCTTCCCGTCAGCAAGGTAAGACTCTCCCTAGGGCTCTCAGTATGTGTGTTAGTGTGTTGTTGAAGGCAGGCCAAGTCTTGCAAGAATAACTGGGTTCTAATTAGTGATGTTCACTCTGCGAACATGCCTTTAATCCACCCAAAGGAAAAGTATTTATGATGTATATTTATTATGTAACTACAAGACAAACTAAAGTGTCTCTCTGTATAACTATGTTCATTTGTACATTAGTCTAATTACGGAACATTTAAGGAAATAGTGATGAACTGAAAATGTTAAGAAAGCTTTAGTTCAAGTACTTGTCCACCTCCGTATGGATAAAAACACATTTATGCAGATACACACATGCATACATGTGCATTTACTTATGTATGAATGGCCATGTTCACATGTGCGCATGGTTGTCAAATCTGAACTTGTCCCAACATTGTCAATAGATAGTTTCACACACACTCAGACACAAAAATGTGCAGCATGGAAACTGAAGTCTGATGGGCCACACCCCTTGGCCACATGGGATAATCTCTAAAATATAGATCAGAAGGCTGAATATCTGACATCCATTTACAAATCTTTTGATGGAAGGTTTAAAGGGCCCCCTTTGAACTGCTTCATTTTTTAATTAAAGGCCAACAAACAAAATTCAAATAATAAATTCTCTGTCAAGCAGAGGCATATGACCTCCCTGAGGTGGAATCATAAGACAGGATAACAAGGCAAATGTTTCTTCTCTATTTTCTACTGCAAGCTGGGTATACAAGTAAACAGCTGTTTACGTGATGTTGAATTCTTTCATGTTTTTTAGAAAATGTGAGCTGCCACACAATTTTGTGTTATGGCATGTTGTGTTACAGGGCAAAAATAACAGTCCTACCTTGTCGGACATCTCTGGGTGCTATGGCGATTGCTTCATTGGAATGCAGCTCAGTAACGCAGCAGTCATCAGGAACCAGCGAACCATTGCTGAAACTGTGTGGTGTCTCCGGGAGCAAGGGAATAGGTGGTGCCATGATGTTGTGGTTTGGACAGATACATCCTGTCTGGGTCATCCCACAACCATCTCCGTCAGAAACCTCCTGGTCTCCATTGTGACCTGTGCGTAAACACTCCTCAAACCATCGGCAGAGCACGCCGCAGGTAAACTGACTGGAGTTCTCGTTGTTGATGAGTAACACCTCTACCAGTCTCAGCTCCAGCAATTCCTTAGTTACCTGAGGCTTATCCGCAGCTGGATGTCTTGTTAGACATAGTTGGACAAAGTTCTTATCAAACTGTTGGAAGGAGTATGGTCCATCTGAGTTGGATTGGCTGCCACAAAGATCGATGACTTCCTGATCCCTTGCAGCAGCTGTCTGTAAGTGAAGGGGACAGCTTTGATTGGTCAGGTGGTGGTCAAGGGAGAGCAGCATGGGGGAGTGTGTCCGGCAGATGATAGGGTGGCGGGTGAAGCGGAGGTATAGGGAGTACTTGGTGGGGTCTGGGTTTTCCAGGGACCAGGAGCAGCCCGGTGCCCTGGAGGGAAAGAGCTCCCTTAGGGAGAAAGAGCCATAGAGCACCCCAGCTACAAGGCTGGAGCATGGTGAGGAGATGGCCGAGGGGCCCCCTTCTGCCCCGGTGCTGGGGACACCATTGGCAGCCCCATAGGCAGCCTCAGCCAGGGCAGAGAGAGGCGCTAGAGTGAGGGCAGACACGGCAGCCAGGGCCCCAGCCACAGCCAGGAGAGAGGACAGCACAGACAGACACACCCCACCAGCAGTGTTCATCCTATGACATTTGTCCTGCAGGGGAAGGGAGAAGAGAGGAGGAAGGGGGGGAGAGGGGGTTGTACATTAGACACATCAGGATATATCTTCAAACACGACCTGACAAAACCAACCAATGACATGGACAAAAGGAGAACTCATCCATTTTCCTGTTCAAGTCTAGACCAAAGAATTATGTCTGATTGGAAATATTTCTGCATTGCCTCAAAGTACAACATACCCAAGTTCATAGCAGCAGTTCACATGAAGTTCTTTTTTAAATGTACACACACAAGTGCACTGTCAAAAACACAAACACATCCCTGCTGGGCTGGATTAAAAAGGTTGATGACTTGGCTGTTGAGACATGCACTGTGGGGCTTTCTCTACCCTTTCCTGCTGATATGTACGCACAAACACACAGCCAAATGTACACACACTCACACGCACGCCATCGCCTGCTGAGCAGCTCCCCCAAGGCTCTGGCAAACTATTACCATCACCGACACAGCAAGGGTCCACCAACAGCCTGATTTTGACTCACACACACACAATGCTGACAAAATCCCATATACAACATATACAGTGTTTTAGTACTTTGCTCGAAACTACTTCAATACCCACTACATTTTTGTACACCCCCTGTGTCTGCTCCAGTGCTTTTGCATAAATGCAGTTTGAGGACGATGTGTGGGAGACTGAAAATGTTTTGCACCACTTTACCAATAACCTTATAGCATGATACCCAGACAACTTACTCTTAAAAATCAGTATGCTCTGAGATTCAACAAATACTGCAACTCATAATTTTAACAGAGTTACAGCTTTATAGGCTACTGTAATATAAGACACATTTAGCAAAACTTTATAAAACTACTGCACACTGCCACAAAACAAAAAGGCGATGGACACAAAAACAGCAAATGAAAAAAGACCAAAACATGTATATTGAAAAATATAAACATGAAAGCTCGTTGTTGTGAACAAGTTAGCTAAAGTGAAAATGAACAGTAACATATTTAGGATACTTTGTCATTTTCGTTGTGCAACCACTGGGCAATGCAGGGAACCTTTGTGGAATAATCAGTGTTGCCAACTCTATTAAGATGAAAATAACTAGTACTATCACCAGATGACATGCTAATTTGCATATTTAATGCTGTCATCACATAGTCAGTTGCATAAATCTTAATGCTTTTGTCGTTGCATTGACTATATACAGTCTACTTTGGTCGGTTGCAGTGAGGGAGAGATCACCTTACTGGTGGCCCTACACTAGAGGATTATAGGTCAGATTTTGGGTCAGATTCGCCCCTCATGAAAATGATGGGGATTTTCCCAATTCAATGCTGGACTTGACAGATTATCTTCGCAAATTATCCTGTTTTGTGAGGCGACATAATTTTTATGTTACCGACGTGATTAGTGTTTCCCTGATTCAAAATTCTGTAGCGTGACTGGAACAGCGAAGGACATTTTACCAGTAACACGCCAATAGCCAATGAGATCAATGATGATGGAAGCACCACCAACAGTCTGTCTGTTTGTGGTATCTCATGTTTTTAATATTGGTTAAGATTTCAAAGTCCTCTAGTGTGCAAGCCATATAAAAGAGAACTCTTTAGCCAAATAATCACAAACTCACTACAGGGACATTAAATATCCTTAAAACAAATCAACAAAGGGAGAGAGAAGATCAAACAAATAATTTTAATATTCACAAGATCAAACAAACTACTTAAATATTTACAAGCTATAGGAACACCCCAATCCAGAGATCCAGCGAGAAAGATGGAGAGAGAAGCGTAGACTGCTCAAACCTGCCCCACACTCCACACCTACTGCTCTGTCTGTGAGCGGTGAACAAGGCGTAAGAGGAGAGGGAGAGATCCTGGTGATGTTTGCAGAAGAGCTGTCCAGCATGCATGGGAATAAATTACAATATAATATATTTGACTGTATTTCTCAAATTTGCCTGATGGTCCTAATAATTCGCTAAATTTGTTGCTAGTCACTTTAGAAAGAAAGTCGTTAAGCTCTGAAAAGTCGCTAAATCTAGAGAGAAAGTTGCCAAGTTGGCAACAATGGGAATAATGTGTGATTCTGCTGACAATAAATGTGAATGTGGCATAAAATGTGAGCTGCCAGTTTTACCACTACTTTCCTTGCTAAATTACTGTGTCAGTTAGTTAAAAATGCTAAAAAGAAGTAAAGGTCTTGTGAATGGAACACATTTGGGAGTTGAACTCACATCCACCTAGCTGGAATACACCTATTTCTCATTTTATTGCCTGGTTGTATCAAAGTGATCTCCCGGGTTGTAGCAACCAAGGTTACTAAATGTGTGACGCAATTAAAAAAAAGCCTCTGTACTAAGCACATGTATGACTTTAGAGCAAGTACTTCACTTCCCTAAGGCCCAGGTTAATGACGCACAGCAGAAGCCTCCACTTCACAGGATTTATTGAGTCTGTTAAGGCTCTCCAGCATGGGCACCTAGTCCACAGGGCCTGGGTACAGGCTATAGGAACTGTGCTTACTTCACCATGTCAAGAGCTGAGCCAACAGTGGTTGGACAATAAGAGGCACTTGGGCTTAAAGGGGAGAGCTTTTGATGAGAGCTAGAAACACATAAAGGAAAGCAAGATGGAGGAGATGTTGGAGGGAGCAGGGCATTCATATTTATACTGGAATGGGGAAAATGTGTGCAGTTTGCATCATTCACCATGAAAAATAAATAATATCCTGTAGGTTTTAGGCATTCTGATGATGCTACCTCAGAGTGATGTACATTGCATAAAATGGTTTACTGACATGCTCAAGGACAATTCACCTACACACATTTTTGGGGTTTTTGCAGACGGTTAAGGTCATGAAGAGGTCTCTGTAACCACTAGTTAACCCTGCTGTGCAGAATAAATGAAGCAGATTTGGAAAGATATTTTACAGAAGTACAGTGCTGTTCATTTGGTTGGAATAAAAGTGAGAAGAGTTGTTCAAAGCAGGATATGTATGATTCTCAAGGATCATTTTAAAGGCAAGGTTTTCCTCTTTTTTATTATTTTATGCAAACTGGGTGACAGAGTGGAGACATGTTGGTAAAGCAAAACCAGTTGGTAGAAAAAAGATACATGCACAAATTAGATATGAGCACATCCACACTACATAAGTCATTGTAGTTCCTTTCACTCATAAGGCAGTGTTTACTTTAGGAGTAGTTGGTAGTACTGCGAGGCAAGTGACCATAGCAACATCCTATGTCCTGACCTGGATTTGTACTTTTGTCACTGTCTGGACTGGGTTTTCCTCCACAGGATTCTCACCTGCCATTATTCACATGGAACATATGACATAAAGGGTTTTTAAACAGCACTGGCTTTGGTTGCGGTGACACTTTTGACAAATGCATGGTACAGCTGGGCTGATGGAACAGCTAATGCAGCATGTTGTGAAATGTGTATATGGACATCCTGCTGTCTGGCATATGATGGGGTTATAGACTCTGCCACTGGAACACACTCTCATACTTGAAAACCAATATGATATAACATCCATACACACTGCACCACAGCTGCTGACACATGTCCTGCTAACAATGTGTCACGCTAACAACGCGTCACTGAACTGTTAAATCCAGATATTCAGTTTGAATGCATTGCAATATTCTATGGAATAGAAAATGAGAAACAGAATATATGATTTCCCACTGAAACTGAGCTGAATGGGAGATTGATATATATATATATATATATATATATATATATATATATATATATATATATGTAGCATGTCTATGCATTATCATGTTTTGTATTTTTTCATTTTATTGTACCAAGAATAAAAGTTTATCTTATAAAAAGACAAAAGTCAAAAGGGAAGATAGATGGCATTATAGGCCAAACCATGCATTGGTAACGCCTTACGCACATTTTACGGATGAAGAGAAGTCAAAAGCGTTAAGCAAATTGTTTTTGGGACAATGAACAATGAATATTCATAGACCCACAGTCTGTGCAAGAGTAGGCCCTAAAGTGCAGTCTTCATGAGGCCATTCTGTCCCACTTCACTCTAAAACAGCACTTTACTGTGGGCATCCATTAATATTCATTAGCTTTGATGTCTTCCTACCCTCTTCCACCTTGACATTAATGTTGTCACCAAGGATGGCAAAATATGGATATCTCTCACTGCCTGTCTCTGTTTCCTCTACCTCCCCTCTCGGCTCCCTCTTCATTCTTTAATGTAGTGAATTAACAGTATGACTCATCTGATTTTTGACTTCACTGTAAAACTCATTCAAAAGACAACAGAGCTGGGACACAGTGAAATTATCACTGTCCCCCAAATAAGACATTATTTATTACGACAGCATCAAGTTTTAATCTCTGCTCAAAAACATGCCTTGGGTCTTAAATGCTATAGTTCCACATGTATTAGAGGAAACACCTTTATTTCAAGGTTGAAGTTATTCTTGCAATAAAACTTGACCTTACTCTGCTCTACATTTATTCCGCATCCGAGTGGGATAAAATAAGTTTTACATTTGTTTCCCCTGCATAGCATGACGCTGTGCGTCCTTCTTGATGGTAAAGCAAATAGGAACTATCACCACTTATATTATTCTCCATTTGCCTGTCTTTGGAAGCTCCGCAGTCTTGGTCCAGATACTGAAAGGCCTAAACAGCTTCAGTTCATGCTGCACTGATATGCCACTCTAACATGCTGTGAAAAGTTGGAATATCTGACTTATGAAACACCCAATGACTATGTTTACGGATCTCATCCTTGAGAGAAAATAAAGGTGCTGCCGAACTCATACTGTTGATATTCAGTGTGTGCAGTCTAAACTGGATTCATTACAATCATAGTTTATCTGTGGTGGATGAGTCTTGTCTTGCGACAAACCTAAATAATATTTCCTCTGATTTGTTTGAGCTGACAATTAAGGCAGTTCTTAATTACTCTAGTCAAAAAGGTTAGAAAACATTTGTTACAAAATGGTCTTTCAAAATAAGAAAATAAAATAACTTACCAAT